GATAAACGTCGAGTGAAGAGCTGCTGACTTTTTTTTTCGGCATTGCACTCCCCGGGGAAGGAATCCCATGCAGTGACGTATGCTGGAGCGGGAGGGCTTTCCAGCAGCTCGGCTCTGGGTTTCTCAGGGGAACTATGAAAGGTCAGTGCGAAAACAAACGCCGAACAACCATGTGACGGCACGTCGACCGGTCAACAGCTGAGCGACCATACTGCCAGCTTAGCCGGAGGTGTAGCGCCATTTTGTTTTAGCTAGTAGCAGACACGACACGACGGATCTTCGACAGACACGATATTGGACAGTATGCGGGCCCACATCACGGATTCCGTGAAAGCAGCCATCAAGAAAACAAACTCAATTCCTGCTKTGATTCCTGGAGGTACAACAACGTGTTTGCAAACGCTGGACATCAGTGTAAATCGTGCATTTAAAGCAGCACTCAGGGGTGAATGGGAGGCTTGGATGACTGACGGGGATAAATCATTCACAAAAACTGGCCGAATGCGAAGCGCGTCATTTCCTGATGTCTGCCAGTGGATCCTAACAGTGTGGAGAAGAGTGAATGTGTCCACCATCACCAATGGGTTCCTAAAGGCTGGACTGCTACGTTAAGAGGGCACCACAGCTTCAGAGCCAGCATTACCCTAGGAGGACAACAGATACCACTGTGTGACGCAGCTTTTCTCAGCTTGTTTAACTCCGACACTGAAGGGGAGGACTTCGATGGTTTCAGTGCACCGGAGGACGATGAATGAGACGTTTTGTTGGACCAGAAACTGTTAAAGAAAACTACCAAAATAAGGTCAGTTATATGAACCGTATTCCTCCGAACTGAATTCCTAAAGGTTTGCTTTTTATGTTTTGATGTTGAATTCACTTTTTTGATGACAATTTTGGGTGTACTGTTTTTTTTATGTTGGGGGTGCAGCTTATAGTCCGAAAAATACGATAAGTAGTCTCCAACAGTCGCAGCCCAGTGAGAAACCACTTTTAAAGATTGCTGAACTGGCAACCAAAAGCACTCAGGGCAGTTTTGTCACAAGAAAGAAACAAATTTCCAGCATTTAGACGAAACTAAAAAGAAAAAACGAGACACTTGCAGCTTTAACTGCATCCTGATTTCATGGGTAAATCCTTTTCTAAGTTCACTTTTTGTTGATTAAATAATACACTCCTCATCTATAAGGCAACAGAAGAGGGAAGATGTAATTTTAGAGTCGACTGTTTTCTGTGTTTTCATCACCTTTGATGTCAGAGCACAATAAATAAATAAAAATAAAAAGTGTCCTTACTGTTTGCAATCATCTTCTCGTCCATCACCTCCATGCTGACAGAACTCAGATTTCTCAGCACAGTCTCAGAGCACTGCTTACACCTGCAGCACACAGGAAGTTAGGAGTGGAAGAAGCTGCCAGAGCTGCCTTTCTCTCTCTCTCACACACACACACAAACTTGTTTAAATATTCTTGTGGGGCCCGTCCATTGACTTCCATTCATTTTTCATTCATTTCTGTACCCTAACAATGACCGTAAACCTAACCCAAATTGCCATTTGAAGTTATGGGGCCTGGGATTCGGGCAGTGGGTCATCACAAGGTAGAATGTTGTGGAAAAATGAGCCTTACAAGGTAACAAATACAAAGATATATACACAAGTAGTTTCAGTGTGTGTGGAGCTGATAGGAACATGTGACACAATCGGACTGATAGAAAAACTAAAGCAATTTGTTTTTTTAAATTAATGCAGTGAGAACATCCATCCATCCATCCATTTTCTGTACACGCTTCTTCCTTTTCAGGGTCCCGTGGGTCACTGGTGCCCATATCCAGCAGTCACAGTGCAAGGGGCGGGGTACACCCTGGACAGGTTGCAAGTCCATCACAGGGCCACACATAGAGACAAACGAGACAAACAACCATTCACTCTCTCACTCACACCTTATTACTCACACCTTATCACACAATTTAGAGTTATCAATTAACCTAACAGTCATGTTTTTGGTCTGTGGGAGGAAGCCGGAGTACCCGGAGAGAACCCACGCATGCACAGAGAGAACATGCAAACTCTACCCAGAAAGGTCCCCGGACCGGGATTTGAACCGGTGACCTTCTTGCTGAGAGGCATCAGCTCTACCAACTGAGCCACCGTGCCGCCCCTTGCAGTGAGAACACTGACTGCTAAATGACTTCGCTGACATTTGTTAAAAGATATGATGTGGTTTTCAGCTCTTTTCTAAACACCTTGAAATTGGCGTCTGTCTCTTTAAGAACCTCCTACCATTTCTAACACTCCCACTTCAGCACGTCTTCACAACACTGCTTCAGGTGAGGGGTGCTCTGTGTGGCAGGATCTCGGCTACAGACTGAGCTCCAGGGAGGAGCTTTGTACAAATGGGCAGAGCTTTGTACCAGGAAGTGTTTAGGCAGCTCTACTGGGAGGGTCAAGGATTTCTCAAACATGCATGAATGAGTCAAAGCAACACTCTGGGTATGTTTTTGATGAGGGAATGACGTTATAACATGATATCGTTGTCCAGTTGTCCTCCTCCTACAACGCTGTTATTGCAAGTATGACTCTGTGAGCAAAAGGTGTGAATCAGGGCCCCAAGGATAACCAACACAAACAGGGAAAGAGAGACAAAAACAAGGGGACTTTGAGCCCCACTTGCACTCACTACATACACAACACGACACCAAAGAACCACAGCCGAAGCATCCAAACCAATAAGTCAGGTGATGGGGCACATGACCCTCTATGAACGATAGAGCTAATCAAGCCTATTGTTAGGCAATGGCCCTCTTTTGCATGTGACTAACCTGTTTGTCCAGGTGGAGGCAGGGCTTATAAGGCTGAGTTCACCTGAAACTTATCAGAGTGAAGAAGTCTCTTGGAGGAGAGACGAAACATTTCACTAAAGAAGAACCTGTCCAGAGGACCTACTGATTTTTTCTTTTTGAAAACACTAGCTAATTTCTAAAATAGGCAAAATACTAGCAAAAAACAAAAGCAGCAAATTACTAACTAAAAATTAGGCAAGCTGAAATCCAGTGGGAGTAAAATGGTAATTAAATTAAAAGCAGCAAAAGACTAGCTTAAAATTAAAAGGTATCAAAACATTGGCTAAAAACAGTAAATAGAATTAGAAAATAGAACTACAAGTAACAAAAAGTTGGCTAAAATATGAGATTACTAGCTAAAAGCTAAAAGTAGCAAAAAGCTAAAAGTAGCAGAACACTTGCTAAAAGCTTAAAGTAGATGAATGGTGGGTGAATCCAGTAGTACTAGCACAAGGAGACAAAAACAGCAGAATTTCTGAAGAAAATTATAAAGAACAAGATAGAACTCAAGGCTGACCACCGCTGATGTCCCGTCATGGACAGAGAGCATTTCAGCCAAAAATACAACATTGATGGAACTGAAGAGATATTAATTGTGTTTTTGTCCTGAAGAAAATATTTAATAGGTAACTGTGGTGTTTCAAAAAGTATAAAAGTTACAAATAGCAATAGTTACATCTCCCACAACCTGAATGTTCTGATATATAAACAGCTGCTCTCTTGCTGTTGATACAACTCAGCACCATTAGGAGCTCCAATAAACAACAAAAACAGTTCAGCACTAAATGTTTGAGGTGCTTCTCTGACCCGTAATATCTTCTTCTGTCTCTGAACAGGAAAGGTGCAGACAGGTCAAGCAGAGCCAGGTGGTCTCCTGATGACGTGACAGGAACAATGTTCTGATACTCTGCTGCTATCAGCCTGGTCTCCTCCAGTGTGGAACCTGCAGAACAAACATGACAAAGTGTTTCTATGTGTGTGTGTGAGGGTTGATGAGGACAGTGATTCATGTACAACATGCTTGATCATCTGCTTTAAGAGGTTTATCTTAAAGGGGCAATATCATGTAAAATCAACTTTTTTTGAGTTTTATATCATGTTATAATGTTATACTCTCATAAAAAACATGCCCAAAGTCTTGCTTTGACTCATTCATGCATGTTTGAGAAATCCTGCAGCGTTTTTAGGAAGCCATGCTGAGGAGCAAAACGACAGGTGGGGACCAGAAACACCTTTTGGGACCAGAAAAGCCCCTGGGACGTGTCTTTAAGCCAAACTTCCTCATCATGGAGCACACCTCCCAACACACCCGCCCATGACTCCTGCAGGCTCTCAGCAGTAACAGAGCAAAAGTGAAAGTGAAACTTAAACTGTCTGCTGCTCTCAACACTACTGCTCACTCAGTGAAGCTCTTTTCAGATTCAAAATACCTTTGAGGAAATGTATTTTCAGATGCCAAGTAAACTGCATCATTGCGCGAGCGCAACCCCCCGCACTGAAATGGGCGGGACAGAAGCGGAAGGTGGTTCTTAAAGAGACAGAGGCCAATTTCAAGGTGTTTAGAAGAAGAAGTGATGACAAGATAAGTTTATTTTCCATTTAAACATAAAAACAGCATTTTAATAACAACTAAAGGTGACATAGATACTTTATTATGGTATAGTATTTAAATATATGCCTGAGAAACACATAATATTGGCCCTTTAACAAAATAACATGTTGGCAGTGAAAAGAATTAGTGAAGCCAGAATCACAGCCTTACCCTCGAGGAACATGAGGTCTTTGACTATCAGGTTGGGGCACAAATGAATACCCAGAACTCGACTCTGGGACACCGAGGACTCTTCGTGGAGGTTCACCTGTCCTGACAGCAGGTCTGGAGGCCTGCAGGCCCTGGAGCGTTGAGACGCCTCAGAAAAGATGCCTGCCACCAGCTCATCATCTGGGATGTCCTGACTGAGATCAGAGCACATCAGGGAATGTTTCAGATACTCTACTTGGTTTTAACAATGTTTATTAAAGGAAGAGTCTACTGCAGTTTGTTTTTTCAAAGTGTTCTGATTTTGATTTAAACTGTTTCTAATTTTATGCCACTACAAGAATGTCCATCAAAAATGGGTCCAGACAAAAAAAGTGAAAACTATTAAAATTTAACATTTGTCCCTTTTTAAATTAGAAAAAAAAATTGCACTCTGTGTAAAAAACACAATGACTACCGAGTGTTGAGGCTAACTTGTCAAAGTTAAAACGCTAAAATTATCAAAACTGTCAAATCATAACTAAAAGAATAAAATGAGCAAAATAGTAGCTAAAAGATAAACTTATCAAAATCAAAGCTAAATGTTAAAGCCAGCAGATCAGCAGCTAAAAACTAAAACGATCGAACAGGTAGATAAAATGACCTAAAACTGTAAATCCTCATACTTTATAATAAAACCAAGTTAAAATGTTAAATATTGTTAGGCATCTTAGAAAGCATTGAAAGGACAAATCATCAAATATCCAACATGGAAGCACGGCTTTCCTGAACGAGACGAACATTTTAACATCTGAACAGTTCAAACTGCTGAAAATATCCTGGAGTCACCCATCATCCATCATCCATCATCCATCCATCATCCATCCATCCATCATCCATCATCCATCCATCATCCATCCATCCATCATCCATCCATCCATCCATCATCCATCCATCCATCATCCATCCATCCATCCATCATCCATCCATCATCCACCCATCATCCATCCATCATCCACCCATCATCCATCCATCATCCACCCATCATCCATCCATCATCCATCCATCATCCATTCATCATCCACCCATCATCCATCCATCCATCATCCATCCATCATCCACCCATCATACATCCATCATCCACCCATCATCCATCCATCATCCACCCATCATCCACCCATCATCCACCCATCATCCAACCATCATCCATCCATCATCCAACCATCATCCACCCATCATCGATCCATCATCCACCCATCATCGATCCATCATCCACCCATCATACATCCATCATCCACCCATCATCCATCCATCATCCA